GGGCACCATCAGCTTTCTTCACCACATTTGCTTATGCATCCGCTTTGTCTTCATCAACTATGTCAGGGAGGTGAGCATATAGAATGCCAATTTAATAGAACAAAGTATTCTTGCATTGAGTGGAGGCCCAATGTCCATTTGCTACCTTATAGTAAACCTATAAATATATGCACATAGATCTATTTCCCCATACTCATATGTAAATACATTTACATATGCACATGCCTTTATTTAGACCTGTATAAATGCCCTTTGCCTCCTAGCTCTTTCCTCTATTTCCTTTGGAATGTTGACTACTACTTTGTGGTATAGTGATTCTGTGTTTTTATCTTCTTTTGGCATGCGCTACACATCATTCAATATTTTGCCCATAGAGTCTTTCAATATTGCAATCTGAGGCTTGATCTTTTTCTTTGTTTCTTTCCGTGTATATATATACTGAGTGAGTCTTCCTTTCTGGCTTTGGAACCCCAGGTCCTTGCACATTTATAATACTTTACTTTGTCTTTTGGAGCTGCCTTTCGAAATTTTCTGTTCAGCTCTTTCACATCATCATTTCTTCCATTTACTTTAGCTACTCTAAAACCACGAGTTTCAGAATCTCTTGACATCCATTTTGAGCTTTTCTTTTTTCCCCAATCTTTGTAACAATCTTTTGCTTTCTTCATGCATGGTGTTCTTGATGCCATCAGGTCTTCTGTCATTACTGTTCAATGAATCAAATCTGTTCTTGAGATGATTTCAAACTTCTGGTGGGATATATTCAAGGTCATATTTTGAATCCTGTAGACTTTAAATTTTCTTCAATTTCAACCTATATATGAGCAATTTAGGGTCTATTCCATAGTCAGCCTCTGGCCTCCTTTTGACTGCTAATATTGAGCTTCTCCATCGTCTCTCCCCACAGATGCAGTTAATTTTATTCATGTGAACCCCATCTGGCAAGGTCCATGTATACAACTGTTGTTTGTGTTGTTGAAATTGTTGTTGGTCTTGTAAAATTCTAGATTTGTTTCTATAGCCAACACCATATTTTCCAACTACTGGCTCTTCTGTTTTCAACTTTTGCATTCTAGTCACCAATAAGTACAATTATCAATGTTATATTAACTGCATATCTGATTAATTTTAGACTGCAGAAGCTGGTAAAATTTAATTTCTTCATTACTAGTTTTAGTAGTTGGTGCATAAATTTCAACAGTAGTTGTATTAACGGGACCCTCTTATGGGTGTATGTATATTATCCTATCACAGACAGCATTGTAGTTCTAGAACTGTAGCTTTTGATGATGTGATGTCATTCCTCTTGCATTTGTAATTACTGGTATAAACCTTGTATGACTATGTGATTCAAAATGACTGATACCAGTCCCATTTCCGGTAACACCTAGGATTATCGATCTTTATGCATTCCATTTCACTTTTTATGATTTTCTACTTTCCTAGATTAACAGATGTTTGCAGCTGTTTCTTCTCATTTTGAGTTGTTTCATATCAGCACAGGAAGGTCCTGAAAGCTTTACTCCATCCTGTCATTGTGGTCACTTCCATTTTGAGAAGGCAGCTTTTGCAGTCATATTCTGCGTGCCTTCCAATCTAAGTGGTTCATTTTTTAGCATTAAGTTTAATAATGTTCCACTAGTATTCATAAGGATTTTCAATATATCTGACAGTGTTCTGTTGTTTTTCATAAGGTTTTTGGTTAATAGCACACATCAATATTGTTCATCAACTGTAACAAATGTACCATAGGAAAGCAAGATGTCAATATTAGGAAAACCTATATGCAGAGGGAGGTGGGGAATGTGATAGCTGTTATTTCTGCACAATTTTTCTGTAAATCTAAAATTGTGCTAAAAGCAAAGTCTTTTAAAAATTTTAACTTTTAGATATTACAATATTTATCATGAAGCGTTGGAGTTTGATATCATTTCACATGCCAAAAACCTTTCCTGGTGGTGTCCAGATCCTTTCAGCAAGATTTCTTTACTCAATATCATGTAAGGCACTGATGATGCCATGTTGATTAGTGAGTATCCAGTTAGTTCTCTGAAGAGCCATACCTAATAGGTTTGTTTTAGTGAAACCTTTCTGAAGGTCAGTAAGAAGGCAGGAACAATAAAATGTTATTACAAATATTAAAATGAGTTAATAAAAAACAGAGAACTCTGTCATTGTTATGCTATCCCTCAGTATCCATGGGGATTGATTCCAAGATACCTCCCCACCCCAGATACCAAAATCCATGATGCTCAAGTCCTTATATAAAATGGTGCAGTATTTACACATAAACTAAGCACATCCATTTGTATACAGTAAATAAGCTCTAGATTACTTATAAAAATACAAAGCACATGCTATGTAAATAGCACTTTGGCCTCCCTCGAAGCCTTTGGGGGATTGTTTTGACCACTTAATTTCTTCTCCACCCGCCAACATTTTAGATCTGTGGTTGATTGAATCTGCAGAGGTGGAAACCTCAAACACAGATGGCTGACGTTTTTTCGGCCTGCCATATAATACAAGCAGTAAGCTATAAAAAACACTATATACCTGCTCTGTTTCTACAAAATTAGCAACATGACCATCATCATTTGTTCCCCGGACATTAAACCTGGTCCCAGCTCGTTCACAGCTTAGTCGTGAAATGAGGCAAGCCTTTGCCTGTTTATGAGCAGCATAAATGGTTCTGATTTCTACTCCTCCACACATGAGACGTAATAACCAGTCATCACAATTCACACCATAGTGCTTGAGATGCAAATGCAAAGATTGATTCCTAACAAAAAAAGAAATAATTGCATTAGCTTATAGTGCATTAAAAAAATACATAGGTTTTAAAACAGTGTTTCTGGAACATTAATTGACACAATTAATTTAAATTTTAATAAATCAAACCACTTACATTGACTATGCTAGAAATCAGATGATAGGGTTATAAGATAAGATCCTGGGATATGGGAACAATGGTCCATGGTACAGAAGCACAATTTGATTTTGTGTTTGCTGTATCTGTGCTCCATTACTATAATTTTGTTATCTATAATAATCTAACTTGCTCCATTTAAGAAAAGCAAAGTAGAATGCAAAGGAGTGGGATAACATTAAACCTGATAAATGTATTTCAATAACTTAAATAAATAACTTAAACTTCCATGTTTTATTACCACCTTCATTCAGGGAAAGCTCAAACTGATTGTGACCCAATAAATATGTCCAGGGACCAGTGCTGAGACTCATGTTATAGTGTAGGCACAAGAGATCGATATGTCCTCACTTAGACTTCCCATCCTACATATTTTATAAAGGTAGCTTTTTTCTCCAGCTGTCTTTTAAATTTTCTGTCAATATGCCACTGTTATAATTCTATCTAAACTTATACACAGCTCTCATAGAGTAAAATTATGTTTTGTGATAGGAATTTACCCTACTTGGACTACAAAACTTACTTAGCTATATCCTAGAAAACAATACTAAGCTGCAAGGGTGCCATAATAAGGCTTCCATCTGTTTATGCAAAGTGAAGGTGGTGCATGTCAATTCTTGGCAAAATTGCTGAGCAAAATTCACCTTTGGTATTTTAGCCTCACTTTTGCTCAAATTGTCTCTAACTGATAGCCTCCCTCAAACTATTTCCTAAATCTGCTCCCATCTCCACATGTAATTGAAATAAAAGATGAATTTTACTCATTCCTCTTTTCTAAGTGAAAAATCCAAATTATGCAAAAATGGAGGAGGACTACTCAGATCACAAAATGGAGGATAACTACATCATTACATAACTGCTAAATTGTGTATTACACAACTGCCAAACCATTGAGATCCATGGTCCAGTCAAAGTGATACACAAACTTAATTAACCATCACAGTCACCATTACTATTGCCCAGCACTGATTACTGCCAGACATACATTGCTACAGTGCAAGGGAGTTCAATCCTTTGTCCTAAGTGTTAGGTATTAGATAATAAGCTAATTGATATATGACTAGATATATTCCTGTGGATTAAGTTCAGAAAATGTTTGTTGTCATTGTTAGGTGCTCCCGAGTCCGTTTTGAACCATAGCAACTCTAAGCGTAACAGAACAAAACACTTCCCAGTCCTGTGACATCCTCACAATTATTCCTATGAACTTGAATGCTATATCTTCTGGTCAATGCACCTTTATTTCCTTGGCCTTTTAAGTGTGCCAGCAAAGCCTTTATTCCGTTAAGCTAAAGAATTGGGGGTAGAAATGAGGAGAAAACAAAAAGGAAAGGCTGCTTACCTAAAAGCAGCAACACCTTTAGCTTTTTCAAGTAACTTTAATGTTCTCCACCACAACAAGTGAAGGGTTGGCATGGTTTTAACTTTCTGGAGCTTATTTTCAAAATGCAAGGTAAGAGCATGCCCCTTCAGCACTAGCTTCTGAGCAGACAGAACTTTACATTCATTCATCTATCTTGTCAACTCCTCTATCCTCTCTCCTCCTTCTCTCCTTGTCTCCTCCTTTTCTAGACCTCAATTCCTGACAGAGCAGCTCTAAAGCCTTTTTTTCTGCCCTCTCTTTGTCATATCACTCTATACCACTACATGGTCAGCTCGTCCATGGTAGCTACAGTGAGCAACTCTATGGCTAATTTCCTCCTCAGGGCAAATGTGTCATACCTTAACATGCTATGCAAGGACTATTCAGGTAGTGAAAGTGTGTGAGAGAAAAAATATGCTAGAAGGAACCCTTGAATTTGAACTACTGTGGGAGACCAGGAAGCCCTGGTGGCATAGTGGGTGTCATGTTGCTAACCACAAGATCAACAGTTCGAAATCACCAGCAGTTCACTGTGAGAAAGATGAGGCCTTCTACTAACATAAAGAGTTAGTCTCAGAAACCCACAAGGCAGTTCTACCATGCCCTATACGGTTGCTATGAGTAGGAATTGACTAGATAGCAGTGATATGGTGTGTGAGTGGGAGGGTCAAGAGTAGAGTATCCTAGATTTTGCTTTTAATAACAAATATAAGAATAAAGAGAGGAAAAAAAGAATAAAGAAATATAATTTGCAGGTGGCATTATGTGAAATGGTGCCTTAGTAGTACAGGGTTAAACATTGGGCTGCTAATCTAAAGGTTGGTGAATTGAACTCACCAGCTTCTCCTCAAGAGAAAGGTCAGTCTGCTTCTGTAAATATTTACAGCCTTGGAAACCCTTTGGAGCACTTACTATTCTATAGGTTCGCTATGTATCAGAATTGACTTTAAAAAACAACAACACACAAACAAATCCAAGCTCACTACCACTGAGGAGGTATCTGAGACTATAAATCTTTGCAGAAGTAGAAATCCTCACCTTTTTTCCACAAAGTGCTTGGTGGTTTCAAACTGCTGAACTTGAAGGTACAGCCCAACCTGTAACCCACTACCCCACCAGGGCTCCTGAATGCAACAACAATGCGCAGGTATGATTGGTCAAAAGGTCGACATTGATCATTGATGTTATTTGTAGGCAATAGAATCACTGTCTTACAAATCTGGATGAATTACAGTAAGCCAACAACAACTGGCAGGTATGATTGGTCAAAAGGTCAACATTGATCATTGATGCCATTTGTAGGCAATAGAATCACTGTCTTACAAATCTGGACAAATTACAGTAAACCAATACTAATGATAGTTACATGTTTTATGTCCCATTTGTACCTACTCACAATACTACACCTTTACACATCATCATGAAATACAGTACAGTTGCCAGCATAAGTTCTACAAGGGTGGTCCAAAAATTTCATGGAAAAATGAAACTGAAAGGTAATGAATGGAATTTTCCTATGAACCTTGTGAAGCCCCTTCATAGTCCTGGGCTTTGTCTCAGAATACCACTTCTTTGTAGTTTGCTACTCTTGAATCAAGATCATCTCTACCTAAAGTCTTAATTAAATAAACAAACAAACAAAAAACAGCATGTGATACTTCCTGAGACAAGATCTCAAAACTAGGAAGAATACCACAATTGTATTACTAACTTTCATTACCAAATTTCAAATAAGTGCCTTCAATCTCTTTCTGAAATGAAGAGGAGGTCTAGATTAGGAAGAGCAAACAAGTTTCACACCATATGCCACCACCGATAAACCGACAGTGGCTCTCTATCATGTTCTGGAGAAGGAGCAGTATGCTCACCAGCAACACCCGACCTTGCTATTGCTGGAAAGAGCAAGTGATGTGTTCAGACTTATAACAAACTGAGTACAATGAGGAAAAAAATACAACACACTCACCAGAAAAATCTATTATCAGTTGTGTGTTCTTGCATGGTACGATGTGCATTAAGACTCAGATCTAAACTGATTCCAGATGCAGACCATGCAAAATAAAAGTTTCCTGAATTCAAAACTTTTCGTACTTCTGAAATACGATCCTCATCTGAAGCATCAGTGCGTAGTGATATAAACTCAGTGGAAGTAACTCGGAAAACTTCAGATTCTTGAATTTTCCCAACAGACATACATCCCGTGACTAGGACCAGATAATGTAACATAATATCACCTGCAAAAACCAGATATTTAATTGAATGAAAAGCTCTTTCTTAAAATCTAGCATTGTAACTATTTCAAACTTATTATGGATGTCTTTAAATTTAAATTTCACAATGAGATTTTCTTTTAAGAGTGAAAAAAATAAAAAATTAAATACATTTATTTAAATCATTCAATCATAAAGTACTAAAACAGTAGCAAAACAATCTCACATTTGTAAAACAATTCCTCTCCTTAATCTGAGGTTATAAAAAAAAATGTATGATGGTATCTTTTCTATCTTGTTTTCGTGATTTTCAGGAAGTTCAAATGACACGATAAGAAACCTCTTTGTAAACAGTGAAGCTGAAAAATAATGGCATAAATATGTTGGCTGATGGTATATAGGCAAAAAAATCTCAAATAGCAACTAATATTTATGGAGCAATTTGATTCACAGAAACATTCATAGAGTTTTACATCTAATTATGTTAAAAATTTCAACTTCATACTAATTCAGTACAATTTTTGACATAATTAGATTATTAGTAATGAATAATAAACTTACCAAGATTTAATCGTAAAACACCTAGGAGTCCATATGCATCCAGTACTTTGGTATATGTACCCTTGATTGCCTCTTTTTCTGCAGATGCTACCAAAGAAAAAGCTTTAGGTTAAAAAACATGAACTTCTATTTAGAAATAAAGACAGAGTTTTAACATAAAGGTGCTACGTAAAGTGTTTTCTGAAACTACTGTAGTGAGTTAACTATTCTTCCCAAAGATTTAAACCAATTATTCCAGTACTATCTACTTATCACCCTTTAATCCATTCTCTTCCCACTGATCTAAAATATCTCCTTTACATATTTTACGGGTTTTCTTCTTTGTTCTACTGTTTGCCTACTCTTTTTTTCAGGAGACTGATATTTATTTTTTTCCAAGTTTTATTGGCAAGTAATTTACATATCATATAGTTCAATCATTCAATCATATCACAGAGAATTGCACAATCAGCCCCACATGAATTTCAAAGCATTCTCCCCAACCTCTTCCACTCCCCATGGTTAAACCTCCTTTAGGATAATTTATGCAATCACAATCTGTTCTAGTGCTCCCTACCCCCTCCCATCCTCATTAGTTAACTCTGGAAATCCTCTTTCCCTCCCCCCTATCTTTCCCACCACCCTGTGTTCCCTTTATCCCCACTTGGATCCGTTATTATCATTATGCATCCACTCCTCCTGTGCTTCACAGCCGGGAGCCCCAACAGAAAAGAATTTAAAACAAAATCATGTTGAGGTGGTAAGGGTAAAAACATAATAGTATACTGACAAAAATAATAATGCGTACGAAGGTAAAGACCCCCAACAATGATCAAAAAGCTACGAAAGAAATTTTTGTCATGGAACCAGTAGGACCCAGAACAAATTCAGATCATGTCTATATGCTGGTTAACTGGCCAAATGTCAAGTTCGATCCAGAATAATCAAGATTACAATGGTCTCTACCTGACAGTGAGGCTGATCAAGATTCTTGCCTGTGCTAGAGTGGATCTGCCAGTAGCTCAACTCTGTAGATGGGTTTTGGGCTCTCACCATCCCCCATAGCCCTCCACAAATTGAGTTTTCATAATTTTAGCTCTCATGCTTTTCTCCTCACCATATGCAAGGTGGTGTGCTTCTTCTCTGTGGGTTTACTGTAGTTGACTCCTTGCTTAGTGTCTGCTTAGTTTTATTTGCCTACTCTTAGTGTTTTTACAGTGCACTGGGTGGAGAGTTAGAGCAGGTTAATTTTGCACTCACATTGTTTCATGTTACTGACTATAAAACTTATAACGTAATATCACTTATTGCACTTTATCCCTGTATTTCCTGTTTCTATTCATCCTACTATCCTAACCCTCTCTGAATTATGTCCTTAAGTAAATGATGGTCTTTTGATCGCCAACAGTTGATTATTCCAAGAAGTTTGTATCTCCCTTGTGTTACTGATCTCCTTATGGACCTGCCTAATGTTTGGCTGAAAATTGAGCCATGGAGGTGAGTTCATTTCCATACCTGAGAGTGACTATAGTCTCAGGGGTCCCACAGTTGTATCTGACCAATAACCAGGTCTTCTGCATGATTTTAAGTTTTGTCCCACATTTCTCTTGCACTCTAAGACCATCCCTTTCTTTCTTGTCCACATTTCTCTCACTCCAAGGCAGCAGTACTCAACCTGTGGGTCATGACCCCTCTGGGGATCAAACGACCCTTTCACAGGGGTCGTCGCCTAAGACCATGGGAAAACACCTATTTCCGATGGAACGGAGACATGTCTGCAGGCCGGTCCGACCTGCACATGCAGATACGCCCACCACATACGAGTACCCTGTGTGAAGACTGTTACCCATGCTACCCCATACTTCAAGACAAAATTTCATTTATTTGTCATCAGAAATAAATATTTCACAATATAACTACATAGTTTTTTAGATGAATCACTATGCTTTAATTATGTTCAATTTGCAACAATGAAAATATATCCTGCATATCAGATATTTACATTACAATTCTTAACAGTAGCAAAATTAGTTACGAAGTAGCAACGAAAATAATTTTATAGTTGGGGTTCACCACAACATAAGGAGCTGTATTAAAGGGTTGCGGCATTAGGAAGGCTCAGAACCACTGCTCTAAGGCAATCTTTTTCAGAGCTGTTAGTAGTGGTAGGTGGGCACTCTCTAGTTCTTCTGGTCTCAGAATCTCCACCAAATAATTGAGTAGGATCACGTAAAAAAGGTGTAGAAGATTTTTAACCCAGAAACTGTTGTTTTGCCATTCCTTTGAGTACAAAAGATCCATCCAGAAGCAGAGAGATTCCTAAAACTATCAAGAGAGAATAACTATGAGTGAAGTAAGTGAGAGATTCCTTCCTGAAGTGTGGAGGCAGTAGAAGAGCCATACCGAGACAGAGCAGAGGAGTCACTGAGGCCATGGGGTAGTGAGGGATCCCAGGTTTCCCAGGCCCGCTAAGGTAGAGGCCGAGGGACCATGTGACTTGATAGGCTGTGGCTGCCAAAAATAACACATGGCTGCTGGCTGAGGAAAGGTGTTGCTGTGGACAAAAGATTATATCCTTAATGTTTTCTCACACTGGCTTGAGGTAACCTATTAACTTCCCTAATAAACTCGCATAATTGAAAGTACTGTCTCTGAGTTTTGCAGAGCCATTGCAACAGATTATAAAACTCAGCAGAGAAGTAGAGTGCCATAGGTTGAACGTGTCAGATGAGAGTTGAAAAAGGATGGTGGGTGGAGGCATGTCTGACTGCTACCTTATCGCAGTCTCTGCTGAGCTGGTGTGGAGTTGCCATCCTCCTCCTTTTTGTAGGCAAAAGGAGGTCAGATGTGGCCCCCAAGCCATTGTCTCACAGGATCGGGGAGGCTGAGCTTTGCAGAGTCTCTTAGTTCAGAGTTTTCAATGACTGATTTTTTGGAAGCAGATCACTCCCAGGTACCCTTGGGTGGACTTAAACTTTTTGACAAGACCTCTTATTTGTTCTTTTATTCTTGAAACTTAGAACAGTGCTTCATGGTGGGATGGTGTTGGGGCCATCAAGTTGGTTCCGACTCACAGTGTCTCTATGTACAATAGACCAAAACACTGCCTGGTCCTGTGACTCCTCACAATTTTTCTTATGTTTGAATTCATTTTTACAGCCACTGTATCCACCCATCCTGTCAGGGGTCTACCTCTTTTTCACTGCCTCTCTACTTTAGCAAGCATAATGTCCGTTACCAGGGTGGTAACATGTCCAAAGTATGTCAGATGAAGGCTCACTATCTTGGCCTCTAAGGAGCATTCTGACTATACTTTCAAGACAGATTTGTTTGTTCTTTTGGCAGTCTATGGTACTTTCAAGATTCTTTGCCAAAACCATAATTCAAATGCATACATTCTTCTTTGGTCTTCCTTATTCAATGTCCAACTTTCACATGCATATGAGGTGATTGAAAATACCATGACTTGAGTCAGGCACACCTTAGTTCTTAAATTAACCTCTTTGCTTTTCAACACTTTTTAAAAAACATTTTATCGGGGGCTCATACAACTTTTATCATAGTCCATACATCCATCCATTGTATGTCAAACACATTTGTACATTTGTTGCCCTCATCATTCTCAAAACATTTGCTTTCTATTTAAGCCCTTGGTATCAGCTCTTCATTTTTTCCCCTCCCTCCCCCGCCCTCTTCCCTCATGAGCCCTTGATAATTTATAAATTATTATTATTTTGTCATATCTTACACTGTCTAATGTCTCCCTTCACCCACTTCCCTGTTATCTGTCCCCCAAGGGAGGAGGTTATATGTAGATCCTTATAACCGGTTCCCCCTTTCTGCCCCTCCCACCCCCACCACACACACACCCCGGTATCACCACTGGTCCAAAAGGATCATCGTCCTGGACTCCCTGTGTTTCCAGTTCCTATCTGTACCAGTGTACATCCTCTGGTCTAGGCAGATTTGTAAGGTAGAATTGGGATCATGATAGTGGGGGGAGGAAGCATTTAAGAACTAGAGGAAAGTTGTATGTTTCATCGTTGCTACACTGCACCCTGACCTCCTGCTTTTCAACATTTTAAAGAGATCTTGTGTAGCAGAGATTCACACAATACAACGTGTCGTTTGATCTCTGACTGCTGCTTCCATGATCAATGATGGTGGAGTCAAGCAAGATGAAACCCTTGACAACTTCAATCTTTTCTCTGTTTATCATGATGTTACATATTAGACCTGATGTGAGGATTTTGTTGTTCTTCACATTGAATTCTAATCCATACTGAAGGAATATAAAACCTTTCAACAATGAAACAAGTAAAGCTAACAACAATCCTTGATTATATACAGTTTAATACAGGAATGGGGAAACCTTCAGAATGACCTTTGGCTTGATTTACTTGGGCTATACTGTTATCTTATTAGTAAAGATAATCTAGAGAATAATTTCCTTATGGCAAACTGTTTTAACTGTTCTATTGAGGGAGGCGGGGGAGGGGATCCCTGAAACTACAGAAAAACTCTTCCTGGTACTTATTTCTTAAAAAGTGGAAACATTCCTTTAGAACTTGGCAAACCAAACAAATAAACACAGGATTTCAAAGGATCAAAATAATAATGACATTCTAAAAGTCTGGAAGGGTATGATCCTACTTTTCATTCCTTCCTTTCTCTCCTTTTTATTTTCTTTTCCTTCTCCACTACCGTATTTTTCCCATTCCCTACTCCACAAACTCCAACTTACCTTTTGGCAGACTGGCTCACTCCTTATTTACCTTTTTTCCCTGCCCTTATTCAATTACAAAATAGAATTAGAGCACATTTTGGAAATACTGGTATCCTACATTAGAAAGACATAAATAGGTCCTGATGCCCTCTCCATTTCCTGTCCACTTTTTTAAAGGGTTGTATTCCCAGCCTACTGCTTACCTAATACTCCTTGGCCTCTCAAAAAAAAAAAAAAAACAAATTCATTGCCACCAAGTCCATTTTGATTCATAGAGATCCTATAGGACATGATAGAACTGCACCTGTGGGTTTCTGAGACTCTTTTTATGGGAGTAGAAACTCTTGTCTTTCCCCAAGGAGCAGCTAGTAATTTCAAACCA